TTTTATAAGTTCCCATGAAAATTTTTCATATGTTTTACTAAAACCACACCGCCAGTATTTAATTTGCCAAAACTGAAATTGTCCTCTTTTATTTGCAAGAAAGGTTTGGGTTTTCATTCCACTTTTATGTTAATCATTAAAAAAAGAGTATCAAACAACAATTTATGACAGACACTCCCAAACTTTGTTGTCTTAGTTATCATGAGCAGCGGAGGTGCCAGCCTCTCCCAACATGTGCTTGTTAGGAAAGTGATATGACAGTAAACCCCCAGAGGACCTCGGTCACATCGAGCATACCCCATTTCTCCAGCCTCGAGCTCATCTGCCTTACTAAGTTGATATCTGTCTTCTAGCAATGGGAGAAGTTGAGCCAACTAATTTTGGGAACCTCTGCCTTGCCTTCAGGTTTCAGGTTTTTTGGCTGTTTTCAGAAGAATCTGAAAATGGCGATGAAAGCAGAAATTCTCTTGGGAAAATATCTCGTTGAGAAAAACAGCCTCTTCATCATCAAAATGTTTTTGGTGAAACATTTAAAAGCACTCACATGCACATAACTCCAAGTGAAACTCTGTCACAGTGTCTGCTCCTTTCCGACTGCACCACGTGGCATAGGTTAGTCTGGTGGCCACTTGTGGCTACAGAGATTTTGGATCTGTGCAAACACAGATAGTACTGACTCTTCATATCTGAGTAAAAACAGCCTGTAATTGTGCACAGCTAACTGTTTCCCTCCCTTTATTCTGATGATTTCTGTGCATTGAATCACCTGAATCACAGACTGGGTTAGGGACTGCTTTTATTCATTTGCACAGAGCTAAAAAGTCTGTGGCCTTCACCTCTGCTTGGGGACTCTGTTGAGTGAAGTACTAGACAACGGAACAGCAGCACTTAAATGTTTTCTCTATTCGGTGTATTTTGCTCATGGTATAAAGAAAACAGAACTTAATGTATTTCCTCTGGCATTATAATGAATTATTATTTTTTTAACTTCTATCTGTGCTGTCTGCAAGAAGGTTATAATTTAGAAAAGAGTAGCAATTTGAGCAGGATAGACATGCCTCCTACCTCTTTCTTTTCTTCAGATTTTTTTCCCCCACTAATGTATTCTGTGGGCTTTAGGGATGAGACAAATTACTCTGTGTTGACGACAAGAGCAAAGTAAATGAGACTTAGCTGCACAGGAAAGTCTCACTGCATAGCCTGATGGTGAAAACCCTTGTTAGTGGGGAAGGAATGGTGCTGTATGTTTGGTGTCCTGCTCCCAGGACTCCTTCAGTGGTTTACATGCTGTCACTGTACATAAAAATAAAGAAAGAGCCCTGCAGGCAAGAAATACAAGCAACTCTCCCAATCCCAGATAAGTGCCATAAGCAGTAGGCTGTAGACTCATGTTTCTCCTTGCCCTTTCTTTTTGACTCGCTAAACACAAATTTTCATTTTTTGGCCGGTGACACAGCTTCAAGGAGAAGCTCTCCCCCTTGGTATCCTAACAGATAGGAGGTGGGAGGAGAGGAATAGATACCTCGGTAGGCAGCAGGAGAGGAAATTGAACCTTATTTCTCTGTGTTTGCAGTGGGCGCCTTTACCAGAGTAATCCATAAAAAGACTAATTATTTTTTATACGTGTATGTCTATCTATGGTGCATATAAACATTTGTATGGTCATCTTTGGGAAGATACTTGTGGCCACCATGCTATTTTGTGGGAGCCCAGTTCTGCTAAATGTGCTCAGAGCTTGCATGGCAGATATCAAGGAGGTATACATGAAGGCAAACTTTGTATCTGATCCAGTTTAGGCATGAGCTGAGTACCAAACCTGTTAACATGGGTCTGTTGGCAAAGTGGCTGTGTTCATTCACATTACAGTACTATGTCCTTCAGACATTTAAGGTGCTGATCTACACAGCTCTGAAAATTTCTCCTAAGAACCAGTTTAAGAAGGGTAAGATACTGAACAGCTTCATTCATACCTGTCCTGCAGTATTCATATCTGTGCTGCAGGCTTTTGTCTTTCAGACAGCTCTAGGTGTTTCAACACTACATAAAATGTCTAAGGGCAGCCATCTCTTGCAGCAAACCATCTGTGTGAAATTAATTTCCTCAACACCTACTCTGGCCAAGCCCTATGCTCTCAACACCAGCAAATTCACATGTGCCTGGGGAAGAAGCCAGGCAGTGGCATACCATTGTGGATGCTAGTGAGCTGTTAGAGTCCTCCATCATGTTAACCAGGCTCATTGTGACCAGCAGTCTTCCCAGACAGTTCACCCATGCCCAGGGACCATTTTGAGCAGGTCGGTATGTAGTTTGCGCACAGCTGCCCTGTTTCAGAGCCAAGGACACTTTACTGGAGGCAATCCTAAGCCAGCTGCCTTCAGTACTGGGAGCATTATAGGACGTACTTAATTTAATGGTGCAGGTGAAGACCTAGGCTACATGAGAGTTTCAACGAATGTCAGAGCAGAGGTGGCTGATAAGCAGATTCTAGTCTAATTTGGCAACTCCATCCTCTGTTCACTTGGTAATGTCGGGGCCCCAGGAAGAAGACACATTGCCTCTGAAAAATGGTGGTCTGTGAATTAGTTAGATGCTTTGTGACCCTGGAAGATCTCTAATTGTAGTGGTGGGAATGAAAAAGGCTCTGGCTCTTGTCATGGATGTCATAAATGTCTTTCTATGTGATACAGCACAGGACTCTTGGTACATTGTTGCTAATACCATAAACTGTGAGTTCTGCGTGTGCCAAAGAGTTTTTGAAACTCTCTACCATCTCACACATGGGATTTGGGGCACCCTTGTACTGTACTGTGTGATGTATCCTGTTGTTTAGGGAAGGTACAGGCAGGGGTTTTCCCAAATGTGAGATCACCTGAATTGCCTGAGGGAGCGCATTAGAGAGTGGTAGAAAAAGCACGTGATTCTGAGGTGTCCCTAGTGAAGTCCCAACTAGGCCATTATTGTGATGCTCGTGAGTCTACTACAAGGTGAAGACATTACAAGAATGACTTCGGGGGTCACCGTTGCTGTTAGGATACCCACATACTTCCAGGAAGGTGACAACCACACCATTAGGCATTGAAAATCCATCTGAGGTCCATGTAAATATGTCATTTTCTGGATTTGGTCATTAACTTCTGCAGTTCTTTTCCATACCTAGGGGAGAAAAAAAAATATAGATCCAGAGGGACAATGAGTTAAAACAAGAGAGTGCAGAGTGTGACAAAAGCAAGGTAGATAGCTAATGCCACTTGAGCCAACAGCTTCACTCACATGGGAGTGGTGTTCCCTCTGAGATTCTCCCTTACCTACAGCACGAAAAGGATAAGATAATTTCTGTTAAGATAGGAACATCTTACATGTCCAAGAGGATAATATGATTTTAACATTGTCTGCTGTATGATAATTTTTCATTTATATATACTGGGCCAGATGTTTAGCTGATAAAAGTCCATGTAACTTCACTGATTGCAGAGGAGCTGCACCAAGTTGATTATTCAACCTTTGTCATTTAATTGTTTAGATTTATCCTATTTATTAACCTCAGCATAGAGAATGTGGTTTTCATGACTGGTGTAAGGGATGATTTTTGTACAGAAAAGATGGATTCTGCTCTCAGTGACACCTAGCCCTGTCTTGTAGGTGAGGATTGAATCTAACCATTATGTGTAAAATGAAATATTTTATGTGAAATACACACATATGATAATTCTTTGGTTGGTATTCATAGGGCCATGCTTACTCCATCTGTCTCAGATATAAATATTTTAAGTGCATATTTGAGTAAATTTTAGGGTTTGTAACAATGTAGTAAAATCAAGTAGATGTGTAATAAATTCTAGCAAGCACAGAAACTCAGTTGTTTCTCAGTAGGATTAGCTGCTCAAAAATGTCTTGCTATGGATGGAAAAATATTGAAACAAGTTGAAACTTCAACAAGTATGATGCTGAGAAAGTTGATTTTAGTATCTTTAGAACAATTAGACTGGATTGTCAAGAATGAGTAGCAAATATGTTTGCAGAAGAATTTTAATCTGGCTTTTTTTTTTTTTTTTCCTTTTTTGCTTAACCTTCAGAAATGCAGAATTACCTAAGAACCACATGCTGACGCAAGGATGAAGGTTGATGCTCCTTAGATTCATCCATTTCCACACCCAACTGAATCCACCCCCGAAATGCCATGAGGACAGTGAGAAGAGAGCCATTAGGCTGCCACTTTGTCTTTCTGATTCGCACTTGCCCAAAGTAACCTAGCAGCTTTTGGCAGAGCACAGATGGCTCATTGGCTGTTGGTTTTGAAGCTTTTACTCCAAGGTCTTCCAACAGTTTTTACAACCTTTCACTCCCTGAGACTACCTCCGTGCCTCAGGTAGTGAGGAGGTCCCAGAAGTCTTCCTTAATTCCTGCATTAGGGAACTCCCAGGAATGTACCCAATAGCCACATCTGGGACTCCTCTGAGCCTACTCTGCCTTTTTTGGCCAAAATCTCTCTCCTTTAGGAACAGAGTGAGGAACTTGCAGTCAAGTCTAGTTGAGACTAAATCTAAGAAAACAAAGACATGGGGAAGGGAGGGAGCATGATGATACTTCAGTAACAACAGCAAGGTTCACATGGCTTTGCTCAAACTAGGTGAGCCCCTGTTTAAGATAAATTTTGTATTTAAATAAATATTGTCAAGCCTTAGAGTTTCCAGCGTTCAAGAATAGAATAAAACTTGTCTGTATTTGGTTTGTAGCAGTAGTTTTGTATTCTATGAGGGTTTTACAAGTATTTTCTTAAGGTTTTTCCAAGTGTTTTTTCATTAGGAGATCTGTATGCTGACTAGTAGCTGTCTTCAGATACCAGTATACTGAAACACTGACAAAGGCTACACCCAGGAACCATAGTTTTGGAATTTTGCCATACTTCTCCTGGTGAAGCCTGGTGCAAATAGCAAAATGTCAAATGTTCTGTCTCACCCATAATTAAAAAATGGATGTTCTGTTTATGTGTTTTCTTACAGCTGGCAGCATTAGAGAGACAGATCTTTGACTTCCTTGGTTTCCAATGGGCTCCTATCCTTGGCAATTTCCTACAAATAATAGTTGTCATTTTGGGTTTGTTTGGAACCATCCAGTTTAGGCCTCGATATATAGTCGTGGTAAGTCTCATTTATTATCTATTATTTTTTGCAATTCGTTTTGAAACCTGTCACATTGCAAAGCAGAATTTTCTTAGCCTCAAAACACCAGATGGTATTTCTGTAGAAACTTTAGAAGTCTCCATGTCTTTTTGCAAATTTAGTGGCATTTCTGAGATTTTGGAAACTATCAAGAAAGGGTAACCTAGAGAAAGTGCTACCGAAAGTACACCTGTGATACAAGTTCTTAGTAAGATTCTTTAAAGAATGAAATACCTTGATGGGTCACGGGAACATCTACAATTAGACTATGCATAAATGAAGAAAATAAATACAAATTGTTGTTCTTTTTGCAATAGACAAGCAGAATCAATGGCCATTTTAAAAAAAAATATTTGTAATGGTCAGATTATATTTAGCTACATCTTCCTCTTAAACAGGGAGAAGCAAGGACTGTAGAAATGCCTTTGGTCCTGTGACCCATGGGTTCCAAAGAAATCTCCTTCTCACTTACATCTAACTTTGCCAAGACCTGTACTTACGGCCTTGACCCTAAATTGCTGTAAGTTCTCTCCAATGCTTGTAACTTGAAACTTCACAGATTTTTTTTCCCCATGTCCTCATCATAGCCAGGAATAAAAAAACTTTCAAAGCTGTGAAGGAAACTGCCAAAAAAAAATATCCCTTTTCCTCCCCCACAGTCTCTCCTGAATAGATGAATATTATGTCTTTACCCAGCAGTGTCTGTATCTGGAATATTTCAGTTGTGTTGTCAGTAATGGATTTTAAGAGGCTAAAGTTTTTTGTTTTTTTTTTCCTCACAAAAGAGTGAAATAAGTGTCTACTGGGGAAAACTCATTAAACAAATACTTAAAAAGCTTCGTCTTTTCTAGTCAAGCCTGGAAACCTGTAATTCTTTGTCATGTCTTAAAAGAAAAAGTGAACAAAAAGTGCACCCAAGGTTCTTTATACTCACATTAGCTAAGCATCACAAGCAGACTATAAGTAATTGAAAATGGGTTGATGTATTATCTATTACCTGTGGTTGGAGAACTGGGCAGCAGTGTATGTACATCCACATATTGATGACTCACCTTTCTGCTTCATGTCCTCCATTTCATACATAACACATCGGAAGCAAGTGCAGGTAAGCATCTGTAAAATTACAAAGGAAATTTGTGTCTGAAGTGCAAACCACAAAATCTCTTGCCCCTCAGGTTCAGCACTGCTCTTCAGTGGTGGAAGCTCTGCTTTTGTTTTGAAATGAAACACAACAGATGTTGACTGTTTCTATATCTCTTCCGTTGTAAATGAACTTTTTATACTATATTAAAGTTGTTTTAAAGTAGAGGTAGTAAACTCATAATTAAAGAAAGAAACACCCCAACAAGATACTTTATCCTTAGATTTAACAGAACTCACATTCTGATTTAACTTTAAGCATTTATTTAAGAGCTCAAGCTATAGTAGGGGCAAATACCCACTACTTGGGAAGATCAAGACTTTAGTGTAGCTTCTATCCCTACTAACATAAGGTTCCCAGTGAAGCAGGAATAGTTTGAGCCAAATCCTGAACTCTGAAGAGTGAAAGTACACAAGTTGTCTGGAACCAGCTTCACAGCTCAACACCAGGAGACAGGGGTGGCTTGCATGTCTCCCTATTCCACTGTTCTTCTCCCTGGCTGAATGCTTCTCCAAACCCTCTCCACCAATTCTGGCAGCAGTTAACCAGACCCTTCAGTAAGCCAGTTCCACTCCTAAGCTGTCCGAAAACCAACCTAGTAAAAAGTGGAGAGTTTTTTGCTAGATTGGTGAGCTGAAGCCAGTCTGTGAGGTTCCCAATGATTAGTAGGGCCAGCATGAGGCAGGGACGGTGACCGTGCAGTTGTGAACAGCAGTGGGGAGGCAGTGGGGAAAGGAGGAGGTGCAAGATTTCCCTTGTTGAGAGCTACAAACTTGTCAGTTCAGCCTCTTGTCTAGCTTCACCCTTAGGCTGAATTCAGTGAATACCTCAAGCCAGCATAAGCAATAATCCTCCCTTTGCTCAGCTGCTACCTTCAGTCCATGTGCTGTTCCTTCATTTGCACCAGCACAAGTGGCAGTTCAACCACTTGATAAACTATCAAACCAGAACAGATCCAGCTGAAAAGCAACCATTTTCTTTTCTGGTGTTAATTTAAGTGCCAGTCAGCTTTCTGACCTGTTTCACTACTAGGCTTGTTCCAGCAAAAGGGAGGAGGTGGGAGAGGGGAAACAGGAGCAAGCAGCCAGAGGAAGGGGAAAAGTGCATAGAGTCTTTCTGCAGCAGCGCATGGTTACACCAGCTTAAAGTGCTTGTTGAGCTATAGTCTGAAATTCTTCCAATAACACATGCTCCCCAGAAGCTGTGCTTCCTAGGGCTGTCCCAACTGCAGCTGGGCTTTGCCAGCTGTCCTCAGAAGCCCTAGAGGTGTCAGTGATACGGACAGCAGAGACCCCTACCAGTGCCAGCTCCAGGCTGTCTTCACTAAGGCAAAAGGGAATCCGAAGGCACCTCTCCCAGGAAAGGATATAGACTTCCTTCCTGCATCTGAAACCCTATAAAATCACGTTCCACCTGTTACAGTGGTAAACTTTTACAGCTGGCTTCAAATATAAAGTCTGTTTAATACAAATCTTCAGTAGGGTCCTGAATTTCAGTATTACTTAATATGCAGAGAGATTCCTATCCGGGCTCCGAGTAGTGAATTGGGCACCAAATTCACTGAGAAGCTTCATGGGCTTCCACGTCTGTATCTGCACTCTCAGCCACATCTAAGCCACTGGGTATGCTAGTCATTGGTGTCCCACATTAGAGTGAGAATTTGGTTCTGTGGCTTTGGCAAAAGAAATATGTTAAGTCATGCTTTTATGTACTCTGATTGCTGAAGCTTCTGGTTTAGCTTAAGCTAAATCCAGTTTAACTAGAAAAGTAACCAAATACTTCAGGAAAAGTATGCTTAGTATCCACTGTCTTTTCCTTAAGACTTCCCTGGAAATCAGCTTTGCTGGTGTATATGATCCCATCGGGATATAAAAAATTGAAGTAAAGAGAGAATCAAGTCAGATACAACAGTTCAGTTCTGTAAACTGTCTACACAAAATTGATCTGGCGCATGTACACGCAAATTGTCCCCATGATATTCTATCGTACTCTTGTAGGGATCTTAACTTAAGCTGACCAGCTCTAGGGTGCTTGGTTTGACCTCAAGAGAAGGTGTTTTATCTGTCTTCTGTGCGACGAAGGCTGTGCCTGAAGGTTTCCCTGACAATAGAAGTTACATAAAAGCTTTCACTTTGCCATCCTATGCTGCATATGTCATGTTCTCACCCCTCAAAATCTAACATATAGCAGAAATGGGAAAATAAGTGAATAAAACTGTTACATGTAGGGCCATAAATTGAAGTACATCTATACTGCAGTCAAATATGAGACTGTGGTTCTGCAGACACAACTGAGCAGGCTTTTGGTGCAGGTACCTAGAGCCATGTAGCTGAGTGAGGGCTGTGACAGAAGCTGGATAAACACAAAAGCAGCTGGGTACCCTTCAGATACAGTACTATAAGGATGGTGATTCTGAAATAAATCTGGAATTGCACTTGCTCACAGGTAAAATTCTGAGTCCTCAGAGCTTAAGAAACACACAGAGAGAGAGGGAGCAACTGCATTAACTCCAAGTGTCCTAATTAGTTTAAATCCAATAATTATTTCTAATAGTTTTTGTATCAATTTCTAATTTAGATCAATTTTTGTGAACAATTTGTCCTGTCACTAAGCAGATGTGCTATTTTCAGTACTTGAATATTTTGTGGCTGAATTAAATCAGTACAAAGTTCCCAGGGGACACAAAAGTGCAGAGCTGATTCCTAATTTTCCCATACTAGCTCATTTGAAACTTAGACAAACATTCGCAAAGAAGAAAAAACAGCTAAATTTCAGTTCTAACTACGTTGTAACACACCCATCACTCAACTCCAGAGCTCTGCTGTGATCCATTTCCCTGTGCATGCTTTTCCTTTGTTGATAGAACTTGCTATCACCAGCAAGATTTTCAGGCTGTTAAAATTGATTAAAAATTATGACAGGATACTTGTTAAAGTTGGGGTTTTTTCCCTTCTCCTACTTCTGATATGGGACTTCAAAAGCCTTCTGAACGATGAGTCATATAGCCAAGATTGCACAAACCTGGCCCGAAGCTGAACAGAAATGTATTAATGAACAGTGAGAGGTGAAAATAATACACTTAACTAGGGGGAATATAAGGTGGAAATCTCTGCTTTGCTTGCCTTAATTTATTCCATTAAATAATATGATACATAGGCAATGGGTACACCTGAAAAGCCAGGAGGCAGTTCGTTAAAAAAAAAAAAAAAACAGCAGAAGAAAGGCTATATAGGATACTTTACACAGTATTCAAGCAAATGTTATACAGACACTCAAAACGTGTGAAATATTTAGGCATCCAAAATTACTCCTTGAATAACCTTCCTGGTAAGTCCTGAGTTGTTACTGTTCCATCACGTTGATTTATGCCACTTTCGTTGTCATCTTTCACAAATATGACTAAGTAGGGCTCTGTAAGTACTGATGCCTCTGAGGCACAGCCAGGTAGTACAGGGGGACGATCTGATGACCGAGTAGTTGCTGCCTTTGCCTTGAAGTATCCCTGAGCCAATACTCATTTCCCCTAATGCCAAGACACTGTCAGAGGAGGTGCTGCACTTCGGATTAAATATACACTTGAGATAGTTTATTCATTAAAGCTAAACTTATCCCACAATCCTTGTAATATCCAAACTTAGAAATTTCCCTTTTCTCTCTTACCTTTCAGTTTAAGAAGCCATCTTTCACATTTTTCCTTAACCCTTTCTTTTTGTGACATTGTGCCCATCTAATACCAATGATTTAACTCTAGAAGTGGTTGTATTTCACTGGTGTATGACAGGTATCTCTGCATCGATTTCAGTGTGACCTGTAGACTCAAGAGAGGCATAGAAATATCACTATTGTAGAGGGGCTGGCATTGAGAAAGGGGATCTGAAAGGAACCTACTGGGTTTAACAATAATTTAATAGACATTTAACCTGTAAGGTTAGGGAGTACTCTTGCCACATAACTTATAAGACTCCAAATGCTTCCTCACACCACATAGTATACAATTCTTAGTGTAAAACACCAAAAGCAAGAAAGTATACATGGGGAGAAATCCACAAAGATTATCACCAGTGTCTTAGGTCCTTCCAGCAGAAGGAATCTGTTAGGCGAATATGTCCGGATGATTTTTAAGTAGTGCATCATATGGGCTATAAAATAAAAAACCCTACCCTTCTTACTGATTCAACCCGTGTGGAAAACTTCTTCATGCCAGATACGGTGAGGGTTGCGATGCTGAGCATGACACCAGCTGAGCCAGGGCGGGTACTGAATGTGGCTGGCCAAAGAACTGGGGCAGGAATCGCTGGGTATGGCGGGGTCAGAGTGAGCAAACACAGCGGGACCATCAGGGTAGTGTTCAGGACCTGGAGCAGGAGAGGTGTAATAGCAGGTCAGGTCATGAAACAAGTTAGGTGAGGTTCCTTGGAAGGGAAATTAACCCTGAGGTTCAGTGTGAACCTGATGCTTCAGACCCTAACCACTCCTCTGTTGACAGCAAATGTCTGCCAGAGTGCATGACACCTTCTCCTGCTTGTTGTCCCTTCACACAAAGGACAACAACCCGGGGCTGCAGGCAGTTTCTCTGCTAGCTCAAAGGAGACGTCTTCATAATGGATCTAAAAGTTAAGCCTCACGTAGCAACCCAAGCAGGTGTTAGTGTGATGACACATAATGGAATATTGTTACTTTTTATTTTTTTTAAACCCTGAAGGCATATACATGTAAATTTACAGACATAATGTTCAGAAAGTATTACAAATTTTTCAGGAAGAAACACTCAAAAATTAAGAAAAGGTGTTATTAAAGCCCTCCTGTGCAATCTTAATGTGATCCTTTTATATATTTGCAGTTTTGAACTCCGTGGATGCATACCAATTTTTGTCTAGGTAGGGGCACCTCAGCTACAATAGAAAGGACAGACATTTGTGGGTTTTTCTGGTGATAGTAGCTATAGAATAGAAACTTGATTTGCAGAAAACAGAAGACATGGGAAGAATGAGGCATGTGACAGCAAGAATAAAAGGATTGCTTTTGTTGTGAAGGCTGCTCTGGGTAGCAATTTTATCTCTGCTCTTAACTACGGAAACCTTTTTTAACACAAAGTGAGTCACTTAAATCAAACTTCTCACGTGCTTTGTTTTTCCCTTGCGTTCTGGGTTCTCATCTTGAGACCTTCTGGTCTGATTTGCACAAGCACTGAATGCTCAGCCACAGGGAGCTGAACACTGAGCTTGCAGAGTGCCGTATAACCCCAAGTGTTCTGAAAAATGAAGTCTTAAGCATCTCAAGTTGGATGCCTATAATGTATGAATACTTCTGAATGTAATCTCTGCATGTATCAGAACATCATTTGCATTCTGAGAGCTGTATCAACATAAAATAAATTAGTTAATGTTTGTGCAGCTCTCACACATTACAGTGATGAGCATCTTAGAAAACCTCATGAGGAAATTAATATTCTGTCCTCAGAGCAGGGTCTGAGCGACAAAGAGAAATGAAGTATTGAGTCAGCTGTTCATAAAATGTATTGAGTAAGATAGGATCTTTTAAAATAAAAATATACCTATGATGATTTAATTAATGTTTGCATTGTATTGCACATCCACAAAAGAGAAAAATTAAGATGGCAAATATAACCAGAATCCTGACATTTCCTAATTTTGCTTTCTTGCTTTTGCTGTCTCAAAACTTTTCCTTTAATGTAGTCTTCCTTAAGTACCTATGACACTATACACGGAAAAAACTTGCTACTTGCATAACCAAAAAAATGTGGTTTCAAATGTGGAGAATAACTTTCTTACTTTTAAAAATTATGTAGTACTAATTACTGAATATGTAACTTATGTTCTTAAAGAAAACGGAGCCTGAATTTATATTTCTGCAGTTCAGTGAGAGTTAGGAGGAGCCTCTCCCTTACACGACAGCTGGGTTTCAAGGTGCGCACCTGCTTTGCACCTGCACTTCCCTTTCAGTAATCATCACAGTGGATAAGGGACCAAACAGGTCCTGACTGTGTAAAACAGCCTAGCTTGGCCCGGGAAAGCACGTTCAGACAGCTTTTACCTGCGTGGTTCAGAGTTGTCATTGGTGCCCATGAGACAAAATGAGGCCATTAACAGATTTGGCTTGGCCTGGCAGATCAAGTACGTTTCCTGTTGTTGTAATGACAGATTTCATTCATGGACAGATAAAAAATTCTATCTTAAAACAGGAAATTCTCCTGAATATTCTGAAATCTGCTTTTATGAGCAGCTGGGCTTGTGTTAAATGTTCATTAACTTTGAACACTCTGCACCTGATGTTCTGAGGACATACGTTGGAAAATCAGGAGCTTATGAAGAGTTACTACAGAGTCAGTAAATGTGGTAAAATGTGATATCCTCTTTTAAGTTAATCTTATTAGTAGTACAGACCTTATACTGCTCACAGACCATGGCAGCTTTGTCTATTTTATAATAACCCAGCCTTCAGCTGCCACACTGCCCTTCTCTATAAGCCAGAGGAAATGGCCCAGGAGTGTTACTCTCATTTTGTTTATTAATGACCTACTTCTTATGACATAGCCACCTACAAACTGCCTAAGTACCTCACAAGAAAATAAATGAAAGCAGTTAACCTGTTTGGTGTACAGAAACACTGTATCCATGTGGGGTTAATCAAAGTGGGGAAAAATTCAACCCTTTTCACCTGCACCTTTCATTATACATCACAGGGAGGGGAAGGAAGAGGGGAACATCACCCAAAACTGCCCAAGAGAGCCAAGCTCACAGCAACCGTGCAATGGAAATGGGATCCAGCATATTGTAGATTAGGGTGTTGGGCTTTACTGAGTATATTGAAGCAAAACAAGAGCATATTAGCCTCACCTGGTCACAGCTAATTAGACTTGCAAAAGCACTTAGCAGCAGTTCTCTGTTGAGAAGGTTATAAGCACATAAATGTAAAGTGGCAGTGCTGCTGCTGTGTATTACGTTTTTCAGGTGGATGTAGCTCCAGCATGGCTGAGCGTGCACTTAGCCTGTCAGACAGAAATGCTTCTGAGGTGTACTACTTGGAGAGTTAATTGGGCATAGTTTACAGTTGTATATAAGCAAAGAGTGCATCTGTAAGGAAACAGTGCCAGTCAATTACGCTGACAGTTAAAATGCAGAAGATGATTTAAGGTAAACAAATTAATCTCCCATTCATGCTGTGGGTGGAGTATGAGTTCAGTCTTGCACTAGGGTAGGACACTGGAGAACCCAGAAGAGATATGGATATGTTCTTCTGTTAAGGGTGCATTGTAGGATGGGGTTCATGGCCACAAGGACTGGAGAAGTATAAGCCTTTTTTAATGTAATTAAAATACCTTTTACTGAAAGACTCTTAAGAAATCAGATTTAGCCTTTACCTGTTTGCTTTTGAAAAATATCCAAACATCAGATCAATAGGTCTTCTGTCTTACTTTATGGTGTTTTTTTCTTGTGTCTTTCTTCATAATATTTGAATATTATTTTAATATTTGCTTATTTAGATTACTGTGTTGTTCTGGAATCTCCATTAACAGAGCTCAACATGATTTACGAGTGAATTGCAGTTGTCCCAAAAACAGTGTTTAAGTCAGCATTTTGCACTTAATTGGCATCACTAGGATAGTGTAAAACTGTAAAGAGTAAATCTGTTTTATTGGTATGTATTTATAGCAGCAACGAATATTGGATTTGTAATTTCCTGTGGTTCTTAGGGGACTTCTGCAGGAAGAACTCCTTTTCTGAACTCCCTGTGCTTGTCTGTTCCCAGAAGAACAATGCTTATTGATATCAGGGTTTTTATTATTGATCTACTCAGTATAAAGATCTCTTTCATCTTCACATTTTATTTTTCTGTCTTTTTGCTTTCATCCGGCTTTGTGTTTAGTACACGGTGTGGACTGCCCTGTGGGTCACCTGGAATGTTTTCATTATCTGCTTCTATTTGGAAGTAGGCGGACTTTCTAAGGTAGGTCACTTATTCTTCTTCAGGTTTATGGGAGGGTGTTTTAACAGCAAGACTTAGATTTTAGAAGGCTGGAACTATAGAGGAAAAACGTGGTTGTTTGAACATACAATTTGATCTTCGTAGTTCCCCTCCAATGAGAACTCCGGTGTTTGAACTTGTCTCTGATAGTAAATAGTCATGGGTTTGAAGTACATAAATGCAATGAATCTGAATTACAGTTGCCTTCTGAAGTACCTTCTGGGTGGGGGGGAGGGATTAAAAATGTTATTCAGTGGAAAATTTGAGGTTCTGCCTGATTGTTGAAAAACAGACAATGTCATTTCGGTTGAGTTTTCAAGTGTGTATGGAAAATGTGTCTCAATTTCCAAGACTACTTTGAAAGCAGCTAAAGAAAATTACTAAGAAGGTTAATGTAACAACTTGTTGAGCAAATTGGTCTCACGGTGAGAATGCTAATTCTTTATAAAAAAGAACAAATGGCAAAGGATGACTTTTTTCACATCTGAATAAAACTTTCCTTTACACGACACTCAATGCTCTAGGTCACTGATGCCTTATTCAAGCTTCTGATTAGAGCAGAAATGTTTGCTGGAAGTATCGAGGTACACGTTGCGTTTGCACAAGGTAGCACTTACGTTAGCATAGGTTGTATTTAGCATTCTATCTACAGTGAGTTCCATACAACATCTGCAGGTTTTTATCCTCCTGTTAGACATAGATGATATTGATCTTTATTTACCACATTCATACTTAGGTGTTTCTAGGCACAGTATGCCCGTAGTGCAAGCAGATTCTGGTATTATTAATAGAATAAATGTCCCCATTATTAGTTGTAGATTTAGTGATATGAACTAAATCACTGTTAATTCATGCAATGCTTCTAGAGAATTGTGAGCTCCACTCAGTTCAGATGGGAATATTTGTGAGTTACATGCTTTTTTTGGGTTCAGCATTAAAACCCCTAGATTTTCACTGACAACAAACAGAAAACTGGTGAAACCGATTTAATAAGAAATAAAATTTAATTTACTCAGTAAAAATTCCATTAAAATTAAAGCTTTCAGTGATAGATTCCTTTGGTGATAAAATTTCATAATGAAAAGCTACAACAGTTTATTTTTTCTCCAGATATGATGTAGTTCACCAGAAGTCATAGGCTTGATAAGGAAATTAGTGCACTTCATAGACGATCAAAATAAATGATCGTACTGGTATGTTCTGACTTAAAAATCTATTAGATGAATGGAAGAGCAACACATGGAAGAGATGAATGCCCCAAGTAATTTTTCAATTTCATTATACATAGAGTTCATATTTTTTCAATCAGTTGGGTGATGACTTTTTATAGTCACTATTATATTTTTATAGATAACTAGTGTTTTTATCTAAGTGCCTAGGAAGTGAAGTGAAACTTTTAGCCTGACCCTTGAGTCTGTGAAAATTTGAGTGGTCTTTCCATTGATTGCAAAGGATTGCAATCATATCCTTAGTATAAGGGGATTATAAATTAGCAGGTATGAATTGAAGTCTTGTATCTTCCAGTTTCACCACTGTGTTTCACTTTTAGGTCTTCTTACTTAACGTATATGACAAATTACAATGCAGAGAAACAGTAGCATAAGTATTACTCAGCAGTTGAGAAAAATTCTTTTTATTAATATGTACTTCAGTTGATCTCAGAATTTTGGTGAAATTCTTATCTTGTGGTTTATAATTACTACATTTGAAAAGTAGCTTCTCAACAAGGCGATAGACACAAAATTATTTCCATGGAAGTTAAATGCTCTTGTATAGATTACATCAAAGGCACCAATATTGGGGCCAAGCTAGTATTGATAGAATCAAAATTTTTGTTCAGTAAACTGGAATTTGGGGTCCATCTAATGTGTTTCTGAAAACTATGCTAGAGGTGATGCAGTCATCAAGAGTCTGAGGTATTTTTGCACCATATGCATAAAATTCTGGGTCTTTACAAATTGATGGGTACTTGACACTGACTTAATTGAGACTCAAGTTTTACCCAACATGCTAGCTCAAAAATTTCATCGTTGCTTTCCATGAATATGTTCCTGTGTTGTCAGGCATGATAGAAAGGTGCTCTTATCAAGGTACGTTAGTGTGGTTGGGAAATCAAACGTCATCAGAAGCTTTTCAAGGATGGCTGTTTTCTCAGCATTGAAATCTTGGCAGGGAATATTCACCCTTTTTCTTGCTATTGTTCTATTTTTCCATTTTAAAAAAAGGTTTTGTTTCTGAAATGAATGCAGATTGATTATAATTTTTACCTTCTGTTGACATACTGTCAGGGAAAATTATGATGCTGTCTGGCAGGTGACTGCTACTGGTTTGTTTGTTTTTAAACACTATCAATGCTTATATTTGCTCTGACTGGGATCAGAGTTAGCTGTTGCTTGGAGTCCTGTAAATTTATTAGGTCTTCGATTATGAATACTGTCAGAAAATATACCTTGGTGGAATATTAAATGGTAATTTTAATTCAATGCCTTCACATGGAGTGCTCATAAAATGTGGACAGACTTTTCAAATGTCCTAATAGAAACCCTCCACTGCTGAAATTTTGCTCAGATCTTATTCTTGTGGTGGAAAGGAAGATCTCCTTTGAATATTCTCTGTTTGAATTCTGCCAAGAAGTTCTGCTACTGTTAATGGAACATTTGAATAAGAATAAGAAGGATATAGGTAATTTAGGACTGTTCTTTGCTGTGAGACTTTGAAGGAAACATTTTCCCTTCAGTTGTAATGCATAATGTTCAGGTTTTCCTGGTAAACCAATTTTTTTTTTTAAAGGAACAGCTTGATATTTAGTTTAAAGTTTATGGATCTAGTACACCAAGATCTTTAAACTTTTGCTGATAAGGAATGATGAAAACTTCTGCCACCCATGCTTCCAGTGTCAATCACGATGTATGTGACTTGATCCTTTCCATTATTTCAGAAAAGTATGTTGTTTCTTCACAAGAGTGACATGGAAAGCCTGCATAGTTTTACTTAAAAACAAATTTCAGGTTTTAAAATAATTTGGAAGAAAAAAAGGCAATTTCATACATACCCAAATTCCCACCAAAGTTTGTTTTTAATAATCTGGGAGGCCAAACCAGTAAACCTGAGGGGAGGAAGCTGGTGGGGAGGGCTAAGTTGGGAACTGGAAGACTGTATGTATGGCTGTAGGCTTGTCGTCGAGGAACTCACTTGGGTTTCGATCCCTGCTCCAATTAATATTGTTTTATATAAAGAGGGAAAGCTTCACAGAAGAGCTTTCTCTGAAAGCACCCCCCAATAACTACAGCATGGTAATTAGGGCAATCTCCTGGGAAAAGGATGATATGGATTCAAGTTGTCTCAGGTGTGAAAGGGAAATAAACCTGGCTCTCCCACAGCCGGGTGTTGTCAGTAGAAAGCTAATGAGTAAAAGTTTCCTTTCTAACTACCTTATAAACAATGTATAAGTGAAGCTCCTTTTTCACTTATGTTACAGATGTGCGAATAAAATTTTAATGCTCTTTCAGGGCTAAAGAAATTGTATTTGATCAGAAATAAAATAAATATACCCATATGACTCTTTGTGTTAACTTAGGTTTTTTAATTCTTTTTTTCACTTCTGATTTTAGCAGTGGAAAAACTGCCAGTATGAAAAATGAAATTTGCCTGTACTTTTTGTTTACTACTTTTCTGAAACTGAAAGCATAATTTTTAGCGTTAACCACTCGGTATGAGAGAAACAAAGCTGCTATTACAACATGACCTTTTAATCCTCTGCTGCAGGATGACAGATTGCTGCATCCATACATGAGCTCGTTAGTTGTTTGGAACTTATTCTATGTCTTGAAATGAAAATGTGTTCTAATTGCCATGACAATTTTAAACATATAGACATAAACACAAATCTCAAGGCAATAAGAGGCAAAAAAAATTTCTCTAAAGCACGTTTGAAAATAAAGTTTGTGTGTATCTTACCTGGTACAATACCAGAAGCTGTTATTTTGAAGTTTTGTATGTTCTTCTTAAATATGGACAAGAGAACTTCTATCTTGTAGAAACCAGCCTTCCATCCCCAATACATTCTTTTATGTACTTCTTACTTTACAAAGGAGACCTCATGTATTTAGTGCGCACTGCTAATATTTCTATCATTTGTATCCCTCCAGTATTTCAGATCCAGTGTGAAAATAGCTGCGTTTATTTGTATTTATCATTCACTCTGCCAACTGATACTTTTTGATAGACCATTTTTCTATTACTTGTTTTAATGTGGGTTACGGTGACATTTGTTTGCATGTGTTAATGCCTTTACCCAGTAAATGTATAGCAGCTCTCCAGTATTGTGTACTCATTTTCTCTTATTTGATATACCTTACCTAAGCAGCTGGGCAATGTTGATGAGCTCTTCTCTTTTCTATGATATTTCTGCTTGTTCTGCTTGTTTTTTCTGTGGCATTCTTCTTCAGCATGAACTTTGCTTCATTCTGGATTATTTTAAGTTGAGCTCTCAAGGTTGAGCGCTCTGTCAACTATGTCTGTTGTATTGCTTTTGGCCAAGAATTTGTATGACACACAGTCATATAATCAGTAGGAAACTGCTTCTAAAACAGCTTACATTTATTATCTGGTCCTTAGTTTTAGGTCTTGAATTTAGGTGAATGTGAACTGAAAAAACTGTCTGTATTAAAAATGAAGTTTGCCTGTGTTTTTCGTTTACTAGTTTTTATGTCTGTGTCTTGAGAACTTGGTTCTGGGTCAGGGCAATCCCAAAACACAGATACAGACTGGGTGACGAGTGGATTGAGAGCAGCCCTGTGGAGAAGGACTTGGGGATATTAGTGGATGAAAAACTGAATATGAGCCAGCAACATGCACTCGCAGCCCAGAAAGCCAACCGTATCCTGGGCTGCATCACAAGAACCATGGCCAGCAGGTCAAGGGAGGTGATTCTGCCCCTCTGCTCTGCTCTGGTGAGACCTCAGCTGGAGTACTGCATCCAG